TTCTCATTCCCAAACTGCTTTTGCTTCTCTCTACCCATTATTAAACTCCTAATTGTTTCCTTCTCCAAATATTTCCACTTTTCTCCTGGAATCTTACTCCATGGTTACAAAATTCCATTACACTCTATCCTCAATCTCATTCTATTAACAAATCTCTGCCTCTACCTTGAAAACACAACTTCTCCTTAAGTCTTCTCAGATAGATGCTGTTTACTTTTCAATATTCTACTGTAATTACTTTGGAGTTCAGAAAATAGAAAATGCCTTGCTTATTCTCCAAAGCTACTTCTAGTACATTATTCCTCTACCCTTATATTAAAAATCTGTCTTCTTTAGATGCTTTGAACCATCAGCTACACTCCCCCACTTCTTGTCTTATCGTTAATATGTACTAGCTTCCTATCAGCATCTGATTTCTTAGTCTTGTTCCTCTGCTCTATAAGTCCTGTCATTAAATACTTCGATATCCACTTGGCAATTTGATTCCACACCTTACCCAGTATTTCTCAAGGCATTATTAACCTACAACAGAATCATCTCAGATGCTTCTTAAAATGCAGATTCTTGGGTACCATTCATAACTCTGAGTCAGAATATCTGGAGGCAAGGCCCAAGAATCAAATAAAAAGACTAAGACTGTCAGACTGGTCATCAAAACAAAATTTAGCTATATCCTGCTTACAAGAGACATCCCATAAATAAAAGGACATAGGAAGTATGAAAGTTGAAATACGTAAATAAGATAAACCACACAAACACTAACTAAAAATAAATTGGTTTTAACTATTTTAATATCAGACAAGATAGTCTTCAAGGCACAATGTATTACCAAACATAGGGAGGGACATATTAAAATAAAATGTTATATCCTTCAGGAAGTTCAAACAATCTTAAATTAGTATTCATCTCGTAATACAATCTCAAAGTATATAAATGAAAAATGGACAGAATTAAAAGGAGAAATAGACAAATTCACTCTTACAGCTAGAGATTATAATACTTATTCCTTAGCAATCGATGAAAAAACAAAAACAGGCAAAAAACCCCCCACCCGATAGAGAAAAATTTTAAAAATGATTAACACGTAGTTAGAACACTGTACCCAACAATTACACAATACACATTGTTTTCAAGTGCATATGAAATTTTTATCAAAATTGACCATAAAACTGGGCATGGAGCAAATCTCAACAAATTTCAAAGGAAGAAATCACACAGCATATGTTCTCTAAGCATAATGAAAGGTAATGAAATCAATCATTAAAAGACAATAGACATTGTCAAATGTTTGCAAATTAAGAAGCATATTCTAAACAACCCATGAATCAAAAAGAAATCGAAATGGAAATTAGACAATAGTTTGAACTGAATAATAATGAACAAAATTTTAGAAATGCAGTTAATGCTGTGCTTAGAAATTTTAGAGGCTTAGAGCTCTAAAAGGAAGTCTGAAAAAAAATTAAGCAATTACTCATTTCAACAAGTTAGAAAAAAGGCAGTAAATTAAACCCAAAGAAAGTATGGTCATAAAGATAAGAGCAGAAACTAACAAAGCACAAAAGAAACATACAATAGAGAAAATCAACAAGGCAGAAACTGGTCTTCCATAGACCTCTGGTAAGACTGATCAAGAAAATAAGAGAAAGTACACAAATTATCCTACCAGAAATGAAAAAGGGAATATTGTTCAATGATCTTATGGAAAAACAGTAAGAATACAGAAAAAAAATTTTAGTGTCAATTTATATGAAACGAACAAATTATTTCAAAAATATAAACTACCAAAATTGACACAAAAAAGAATACAGTTATTTTATTATTTTATTTAATGTTACTTAAAAACTTCCCACGAAGAAAAACTTAGGTCCAGATGGTTTCACCTGTGAATTCTTTCAAATATGTAAGAAAAAAATAATACCAACCTTAAACAAAATCTTCCAGAGAACAGATACAGGGATTAATACTTCCCAATTTATTTTATGAGGCTAGCATAAGCACGACAGAAAACCTTCAAGGAGATTACAAGAAAATAAAATGATAGGTCATTTTTTCCTATGAATTTACACGCAAATGTCTGAGAAAAATATTAGCAAACTAAATCTAGTGATACATGAAAAGAGCAGCACAACAAGACCAAGTTAGTTATTACAGGATTGCAAGGTTGGTTTAACATCGAAAAAATTAATCAACATAATTTACCACAGTAACAGAGTAAGTCAGGAAAATCATGATTATCATGAAAAGACAACTGATAAAATTCAATACTCATTCATGAAACAAACTCTCATTGTAATAGGAATAGAAGGACATTTCTTTAATCTAATCAAATATGCCTATTAAAAAAATCCTCCAGCGAGCCAGGCGCAGTGGCTCACACCTGTAATGCCAGCATTTTGGGAGGCTGAGGTGGGCAGATCACCTGAGGTCAGGAGTTCGAGACCAGCCTGGCCGATATAGTGAAACCCCATCTTAAAAAGAAAAACTCCTCCAGCAAACACTTTGCTAAATAGTGTTGTATTGAAACGTTCCCATGAGATTGGGAATGAAACAAAAATGCTTGCTGGTGCCACTTCTATTAAACACTGTATTGGAGTTTTAGCTAATTCAGTAAGACAAGGGGGAAAGAAAACCAAGACAAAAGGTGAACAACATGAACAGAATGGGCACTGGGTAGGGATAGAAAAAAGAAGTAAGGCAGGAAGAAGGGAAGGGGCAGAAAATTGGACTAAAGGTCAATTACAACTTCACACTGTAAAGCACTAGACTATAATTTCCCATTATTAAGCTTCTCTGATCCTTCCTATAAACCTGTAGACTCAATAAAGCAGATGTTACTGACCTCTATTTTCCAGATGATATAATTATGCCTCAGGAAGGTAAACTGATTAAGGTCACTCAGAAGCGAAGGGCAACTGACTTAGGAGGTGAGGGTTTAAATCTGAGTTTCTTTTCAATATGTCATGTTCTTTCACAGAATGGGAGCTAGAAAAATCCAAAAGGAAAATTTGTCCAGAACTTGCTATTGGGTCTCCCAAACCTAAATAAAGTTGCCACTGAATTTAGGAACATGTTGGCTAAAATGACACAAAATAGGTCCGCTTCTACTTCAAACTTAAAGAAACACTATACAAATACTCTGAGGCAGAGAGAAAGAGAAGAGACAGGAGAGACAGAGAAGACTAGCTCAAGAGAAAGTTAAGAGAAAGAAAGGAATATCCCCAAATGCTAGAAATGAACAAAAAACTTAAAATCAGAGTGAGAAGTGGGAACTGACATAGATTCAGATATAGCTTCAGGGGCTGGTGCCTGGAGTCTTAATGCCCATCCAGGAATAGCAGATCTGTTTTCCAGCTTTAAAGGCAAAAGTACATGTGGGTGAGTGATGAAGACTAGACTGGAGTTGCCTTTTTGAAATCTGGACCTTTGATGAGCTGCCCAGTCAGTGAAAAGAGAGAGTTGGAAAAATATTATCCACAGGCTCAGGGAAATGGCAAAAACTTACCGTCAGGAACCTCAGACAGAAGGTAGAGAGAAAATAAATGGTCCACGAAAAATGGAAACTACAGGTCTGTGCTACAATCAGATGCTGGGGAATTTACATTATCTAGAGAGTATGGAAACTCTGAGCTAACAAACTGAAACCCTTAGGGTCCTGGCAATAACAGAAATGAAACGGGACTGTATAAAGATACTTTCACAATACAGCATATGAGACTTCCACGGGGAGAGGAAAAAAATCCTGTTGGAGATGTGATCGTTTCAAAGAATTACAAGCCATATAAGGAGATACAGCAAGGAGCATAGCTAACTCTCCTACAGAAAAAAATAAAATAATCCAAAAGAAACCATAAAGTAAGTATGTTAGAAATAATTAAAATAAAAAGCAGACACCATCATGAAGGATCAGGACATTTTAGAAAATTTTTACATTTTAAAAAGACCTAAAAGGGACATCTAGAAATTAAAAATTATAGGTATTTGGAATGAAAAACTGAGTAGATATATTAAAAAGCAGATTAGACATAGTTGAAGAGATTCTTAGTTAACTGGAAGGCAGATATGAGTACATCATCCAGAAGGCAGCAAGGAGAAATATTAAAAGTTATGAAGAACAAAAATCTAATAGAAAGTCAAGAGGAAGGGATAGAGGAAATGACGGAAGACAATGGCTTAAAATTCTGAAAAATAAAGACATGAGAACCGTGACTACTTCTGAATAGAATGAATAAAAACAAACCTATACCTAGACATAGGTTAGCAAAACTACAAAATATCAAAGATTTAAAAAATATATAATTTAAAGCAACCAAAGAAGAAATTATCTTAAAAATGAGTAAGAGTCTGATGGAAGATTTCTAATCAGCAGCAATGTAAATGAGAACTATGGAACAACGGTTTCAAAGAACATAAGGAAAATAGCTATCAATCTAGCCAACTACTATTCCTTCCCTATATGTTTCTTAACTCAAAGGAGAGAGGTGTGCCAGCAGATGAGAGACTTGTCAAAACTAGCTGGCATTAGCAAAGACCAACTGTATCTAGGAAGATATTTAATTTAATGAAAACTATACCAGATTCCCAAACACGAGATGGAACAAATGACTCAGACATGTAGCTCCAGGAGCTTTTGCCTTTATATTATACTTCCAGCTAAAAGTTGGCAGTCTTAATAGCACAAGCTTAGGCAGAATTATTTAAGGAGGATGCTATGTGAACTCTAGATATATGGCATAGTGATTAAACTGAAGTCTGTGGCATCAGACAACCTGTTCAAATCGTGACTCTACCTTACTTTCTGCATCTACACATCTCAGTTTTAAAAACATGAAATAAGAAGAGACATGCAAAGCACATGGCATAGTACCTGGCACATAGTATGAATCTGATAAATCCCAGCTATTATTATTAATCTTGACCATGGTACTGTAATTTGATTATGCAGTTTGAAGCATTTATCTTTAGTATGATTACTGAAAAACTAAAATATAAAAGACACATACTCTGACATCCACTGAGCAGCCCACAGTCCATGATGGATTTCCCAGCACTTGACTTTGGCACAGAAGATGGACTAATGAAGATTTCCCAACACCTGTAAGAGATACAGGAACTCTAGTCACATAAGAGACAATGTTGAAATCTGTTTTGGATAGACTAAGACTACACAAGAATAATGTTAAGTAAAGCATAGTTGTTAGAATGCCATACCAACAATATAAGCTTCACTGAATAAAGTGAAGATGGTAGAGGGCAGTGGTTCTCTCAAATCTGGCATCAGAATCACCTGGAGGGTGGGTTAAAACATGGAATTCTTGGGGAGGAAGGCAGCAAATCACACTGCCATGTGTGTTCCTATGCAACAATTTTGCATGTTCTTCACATGTACCCCAAAACCTAAAATACAATAAAATAAATAAATGGGAAAAAAA